AAAATTCAAAATTTTGACCTTTTTTGTTCGTTTAGAAAATTAGTTTACCATCTGGAGAATGTGCTCCGACCGTTTCAGCTAAAACTTCGAAGTCTAAGTGTACCTACAGAGTCATTAAAGTGATGCGCTCCGAACGGTACACGAAGGACTGTTTTTAGATCCGGAAATTTTAAATGCATTTTTCTCAAAACACTTTTTGCGATTGCTATGAAACTTGGCAGAAAATATTCCTTAAACTATTCTCCTTTGCATCAACCTAAAGGTTTTTATAAACATTGAACTAAACAATGTTTTTAATCATTTTTTTTATAACATGATTTTTTTAACGTGGCGTGAAATTTTAAATTTGAAATGTTTTCTTTTTTTAAATATACGTTGATGCAAAGCGTGCTACTGTATTTTAACGGAAAATTGGTGGATTTTTGATTTCAAATAATTAGAGTGATCTGTGCGTTGCACGGTGCATTTTCGAGAAGCCAACTTCAAACAGCTGCTGTTCATTCATTTATGAATATTTTTACATAAAACAAAATTATATAGATTATCTAGATGCTACAAAATAACAAGTAAATAGTTGTAAATAAATATATATTATTCAAAAATAATTCGCGAAGAAGCGGTTGTTTACTTGACCCTCTTTCACTGTGAACGCACGAAAAAAAGCATATTTTCAATAATTTTTTTCCTCAGGAACTACTGCATAATATTGTATGAATGTTTTTTTCTCCTGAAAGGTATGATTAAGGAAAGAAAATAAAAATTTTTTTTTTTTGGTAAAAAATATTTCGTCATTTATTTACAAAATAATATGCATGTGTGGAAAAAAAAAGAAAGTTATCCGGTGGCGCAGGTGATTTTGGCTCTCCTCGTAATCTGAAACAGAAAATCGATAAAGTTTATTAAACTATGTCGTCACACCTATCGTCGGAACCTCCAAGTAGTTGATATTTTGATTTTTACGGTACAAAAAAACTGTTTTTTTTTCCTCTCTTTCACAAGAAACGCTGCCAATTTGTTTATTTCCGATGAAATAAATAAGTGGGGGTTCCGACCATAGGTGTGACGACATAGTTTAATAAACTTTATCGATTTTCTGTTTCAGATTACCAGGAGAGCCAAAATCACCTGCGCCAGCGGATAACTTTCTTTTTTTTCCACACATGCATATTATTTCGTAAATAAATGACGAAATATTTTTTACCAAAAAAAAATTTTTTTATTTACTTTCCTTAATCATACCTTTTAGGAGAAAAAAACATTCATACAATATTATGCAATAGTTCCTGAGAAAAAAATTATTGAAAATATGCTTATTTTTGTGCGTTCACAGTGAAATGCCCCCCTTAAGGGGGTATCCTGAATTAGGTCTAAAAAAGAGCGGGTTTTCGTTAATTTTTTTAGGACGGAAAAAAAAATTAATTCCATCGATCTTTTTATCCTACTTTCATACATATTTGAATAGTCTATACAAAAAGTTTTTCAACAAGAAATATTCAAATTGAGTCGACTGCGACGCACCTTTGTAAAGCACTTCACAATTAAAACCTCCTATCGGCGGGAAAGATGCAGGTCGTAATTTTGGTTTGACACAAAAGAAAACCAAAAGAAACTTTCTACTTCGTACATTTTCCATCTATGTGAACTAAGAAAATTCATACAAAAAAAATTGTCTACAACTATTTTAACAAGTTAAAGTAATTTTTTTTCACCCAAAGAACTCGTTCTTTTTTTTAAACTTGCAGTAATTTCACATTTCACCATTTTTGCGGGTTTTTCTTAGTTCGCATAGAAGAAAAATGTGTCAAATTTTTGTGTCAAACCAAAATTACGACTTGCAACTTTCCCGCTGATAGGAGGTTTCAGTTGTGAGGTGCTCTACAAATGTGCGTCACAGTCGATTCAATTTAAATATTTCTCGTTGAAAAAATTTGTACAGACTACTCAAATATGTATGAAAATAGTATAAGGAGTTCGATAGAATTAATTATTTTTTTCCATCCTAAAAAAATTCACGAATAACCGGTTTTTTTAGACCTCTTAATTCAGGGTAACAGTTCAAACCTAATGTCTAGTTACTATACGTAAATGGTGATCACTAGACTGCGGATCTTTATGCATTTATAGGAAATTTGAATGTGCAAGAAACTACAACTTGCAAACAATATGCAAGAATGTAAAAAAGATCGAAAGTAGAGTTCATGTTTTAATATTTACAGAATAAAATAAATTCCTACTTATAATATGTATATAATAATCCTATTTATAATACGTAATAATAATCTGTATATAATAAAGGTTATGTAGATAAATAAATTAAAAGTACGACAGAAATCAGAAGTATATACACGATGCACTTCGAATATGTTCTATCGTTTAATACTTTTACTTTATTATGTATTACAATTGTTTTTTGATTGATATTTTGTTTCTTTTATTGGTAGATTGTCTGTACTATAGGGAATCAAATTAAATTCAATATTTATTTATTTTCACAACATTAGTGTTATTCATTCGTTATTTTATGTATTGGAATTGCTTCTTGATTAATATTTTGTTTCTTTTTGTAATGTATTGTAATGTGAATGTTGGATGAATGTCTATATTTAAATCAGTAGGTATGTGTTTCTATGTTTTATAGTTGTCAGTTATGTTTATTAATTTGTGTTAGTAACTTATTGATTTAGTCATTCAATTTGTATTGCGATTTGATTTTGTCTGATATATTGTGTGTTGTCTTGGAATATTGTCTTGAATATCCTTACATTTTATTGGTACATTTTCTTTACTATATTCATTTCTTGTGATTGATCCATGAAAACGACAAAATAAAGCTCTTTTAAATTTTGTACAACCTCCGGTGGGATTCGATCTCACGACTTTCCAACTATAACGCAACCTGCTTCCTCGCTCACCCATGAACGCCTTCTTGGTTCATATATATTTTAATAATATTTAAGATACGTGAGAAAGACATTATACAAAATATGCACAGTACATGTGGAATATGTTCTATTAATTAATTTAGTAATATTAATACTTCGTTTTGCATAGATGCAAATATCATTGCATTACATTTATACACAGTAGCTTAATTATTACTATTACTTTTTCGTACTCGTCTTTTCTATTCGATACTCTCCACACAGTTGGATGAATAAGTTCACTCATAGAAAAGGGACCTAGTAAACCAGTAATTCTACTATTCAATTATAATTGAATTATAATAATATTATATATATTTAAATTATAATATTACATATGTAAATATTATATACTGGTTTTTATCAGGTCTCTTTTCTATGAGTATAATAAAATTATAATTCAATTATAATTGAATAGTAAAATTATTATTAGTAGAATTAATAATGAAATTATAAAATGTAAATATATATAATATTACATACGTAAATATTATATACTGGTTTACTAGGTCTCTTTTCTATGAGTATAATAAAATTATAATTCAATTATAATTGAATAGTAGAATGATTATTAGTAGAATTAACAATAAAATATTGGTAGCTACGAAAAATTTGTACGGTAGAAAATTCTCTATGTACATTAATTGCAAAAAAAATTCGATCAGTCTTGCACCATCGGCTTCTTACATCACAAGTAAGGTAACCCCATCCTCTTCTTATTTCTTTGTCCCGCGTAAAAAAAACCAGTCGATTCCGCCAATTATGGAAGAACTCAAGGTCGCTGAACGAATTTTTTTTAAGCCACTCGCACTAAATTCCACGGCCGTGTAATTTCTTCGACTCTAATAAATAATTACAATAAATCCATTTGTTGCATTTACAAGCGAGCGTTTCGACTAACAAACGATACGAGAACTTTCTATTTTGTCAATGGAGCGTTATATTTGCGATCAATTGTAGCGTTTTTAATACAGATGTTTTCACATTATAATTTTTTAACATGTGGGGTGGAAATAATAATTGATTTGGATTGATAATGCAATTTTGAACGAAAATTTTTATATTGGGAAAGCAAAACTAGGAACGATATTGGGATTGTTTTAAACAGAATAAAATGTAATGAGTAATACTTTTATATAAAAGTGAATATAATGAGAATAATAATAATTTTTTAATTATTTCATATTATTATTACGTTGTACATACATCACATATATTTTAATTAATATTAATTGACATTAAATAATTTAAATTCTATCATAATTCATAACTAGAGTTTTGAAGTGTATTATTTTCCATAATTTTATTTATAGCTTGTATTATTTCGTACTGTATCGATTCCATTACATGGATGATCGACAAAGAACAGGATGTATAGTAAAGCAATCAGGTGGTCTCATTTATAAGGCTAGTTTCGAATGTAAACACAATACTGCACACTTAAAAGAAAACGTTGATTAACTATTTTACAGTCGAAGAAAATTTGGTTGCTATGATCAAAAGTCTATTGATAGACTAACCAGTTGATAAAATGTTTGGACATATAATTGAAATTATTTTGTATTTTCACAAAGTTAGTATTATAGAGTATTAATTTTATTTATCAGAATCGTTTTCATTATTTCAATATTTCTTTATTTCGACAATATTAGTCTTATTCGTATATTTTATTCGTTATTTTATGTATTAGAATTGAATAGAATTAAATTCAATATTTATTTATTTCGACAACATTAGTGTTATTCGTATATTTTATTCGTTATTTTATGTATTAGATTTGTTTTTTGATTATTCTGTTTCTTTTATTGGTAGATGATTTTCTTTACTATGTTCTTGTGATTGGATTCCATGAAAACGACGAAAAAAGCTCTTTTAAATCTTTGTGTACCTCCGATGGGATTCGATCTCACGACTTTCTGACTATAACGCAACCTGCTTCCTCACTCACCCATGAACGCCTTCTGCTTTGACTAATATTTATATAATATTTCATCATTCATATAACAATGGGAGAATTAAATATTATTAAAACCAGTCGATAAAGTATAATATTCAATAATTCGTGTAACCATAAGAGTATATAATGCTGTTTCAGTAGATAGATAACAGAGTATTGGTTGCAATGATAAAAAGATGAATATATTACCCGGGAGGTAAACTGTGCGAACGTATATTTAAATTCAATTTAAATTTATTTTAATAGCGTAGGTATTATACAACATTTATTTTATCTATTAGAATCGTTTTCAGATTAACATTTGTACATTTCATAATTCATATAACGATGGTAGCATACAATGCTGTCTCAGTAATAGATAATAGAGTATAGTAATATAAAAAAAAAATGATAACAGAGTATTGGATTCGATGATAAAAAGCCGATTAATAGGCTACCCAGTCGGTAAAGCATTAAGTAACTCGTAGCAAGGACGTGGCCTAGTCCACCACGGCGGTCTTCACGATGGTCCAACGACCATCGTCGGTGTTCGAATTGTTCGTGTTGGGCGTGGTTCGATTTCTTGCTCAATTTTGTGCCACTCTGCGGCCGCGAATCGGGTGACCGTCGAAGGTACCGTCACCCAGTTACGTCAGCGTGCCCGTGGGTCCTGGTTGCGCGGTATAAAAGCCGAAAACCACCCGAGCATGGTATCATTCGCATCACAGACAGACAGATCAAGAGATCTACCAATCAAGAGAGCTACAATGGCCTTCAAGGTATAAACTAAAGAAAAGCCCGTGGTTCGTTTCGAGGGCGCGTTTAATCTTCCATTGTCCGAGCATATTTCGTATAATATCGTTACCCTAACCGAGAAACTCGAATACTTTGCTATCATTTTCTATCGGGACATTCGTATCGAACGATGTAAAAAAGTTAACGCATTACCGACCGACAGTAGATTATTTTCTTAAGATTTCGTTACCCTAACCGAGAAATTCGAATACTTTACAATTAATTTATATCGGGACATTCGTATCGAACAATATAAAAAAGTTAACGCATTACCGACCGACAGTAGATTATTTTCTTAAGATTGGTACTGTACAATATCCATTAGAATTTTCGGGTTAACCTTAAACTTACTGACGTTCATGTGTAACTATTCCTATTGTTATGGAATATAAGACTAGTTCTAAAGACGCTATTTTTTATTAAATACAAAAACAATTGTATATAATTCATGTATTGTCATTTGACCAGTCGTAGCAGGTTTAGTGTCAATATTTATACATAATAATATTTCATGTAACGATGGAAGCGTATAATAGATAACAAAGTTATAACGGATAGATAACTACCGGTTGATAAAGTGTTAAATACGTTACCAACGGAGTGTTAACCCTTAAATATTCGTCAAATTCGTTTCTTTCCATTCATAAATAGTACTGTTGTCTTATTTTTCTCCTACTAATAGTGCGTTTAATTACAATTAAAAAATAGTAAATCTACATTATCGCGCAGTGTATTCCAATAGTAGTCTGCTAAAGTTATTCGCGCGTGTCTACTTAACCTATTAACACGACCCATCAAATTTGACTACTTTGTATCGAACCTCAAAAAAAGTTAATTAATCTGTCATTTTGCATTTCTGAATTCAATAATGCGATAATCCATATCGCGTAAACCCGTATTAGGTGGTAAATTTTTGAATTACATTATTACCCAACTGGAATCTACGCTTTCTAAACTAAAATCGAGATTATATCAACGATAATTCGATATTCATTTGTTCAAAGTTGTCGATATATCGTCATCCAGTCCCATCTAAACATAACCTAGAAAACTTAAGCGTATACGTAATAACTAGACTGCAGACCTTTATGCAAAATAAAATCTTCGCGAACGTGCCTACAAAAAATGAACCTAAATAGGAATTTATTTTATTCTTCAAATATTATAACCCGAACTTCACTTTCAATCTTTTTTATATTCTCGTATATTGTATATACAGGGTGTCCCAAAAAGGTTAGCGATCATTGAAAGGGATGGTTCGGGAGGTGATTTGAAACAACTCTTTCCTTAGCGAAAATGTTGTACGAGGCTTCGTTGCGGATATATTAACGGAAAACACTGACCAATCAGAGCGCGACTATGCCGATGGAGCGTAGGCTACGCGCACTCTGATTGGTCGGGCTTTTCTGTTAATATCTCCTTAACGAAGCCTTGGATAACATTTTCGCTAAGGAAAAAGTTGTAAAATCACCTCCACTCTGTATATACAGGGTGTCCTAAAAATGTTGTAACACCTTGAAAGGGGTGGTTCGGGAAGTGATTTGAAACAACTTTTTCCTTAGCGAAAACGTTGTCCGAGGTTTCGTTGAGGAGATATTAACGGAAAACAGTGACCAATCAGAGCGCGAGTATGCCGGTGGAGCGCCAGCAGTAGGCGTGGCTACGCGCTATGCGGCCGCGCTCATACGCTCCTGCGAGCGCTCCAACGGTATACGCGCGCTCTGATTGGTCGGGGTTTTCCGTTACTATCTCCTTAACGAAGCCTCGGACAACATTTTCGCTAAGGAAAAAGTTGTTTCAAATCACCTCCCGAACCACCCTTTTCAAGGACCTCCAACATTTTTGGGACACCCTGTATATCGTTATCCAGTGCCATCTGAATATAACCTAGAAAACTTGAGCGTATACCTAATAACTAGACTGCGGACCTTTACGCAAAATAAAATCTTCGCGAACGTGCCTACAAAACTTGAACCTAAACAAGAATATATTTTATTCTTCAAATATTATTACATGAACTTTACTTTCGATCTTTTTTATATTCTTGCATATTGTTTTCATTTTTGTAGGTTCTTGCACATTCAAATTTCTTATAAATGCATAAAAATCCGCAGTCTACTAATAACGAATCAACGTTATTATTAGTGTAGAACCAGGGGCAAAGCAATTCCATTTAACGGAACGAAACAGAGTTCACAGAGTTAAACAGAGTTTTCCCGTTTGCATTTTGTCATTTTGTATATTTTTAACGAAGAACAACAATTGTGTCCATAGTTCGTCGCCTTCGCCGCCCTCGTAGCAGCAGCCAATGCTGGAGTGCTGGCTCCAGCACCGCTGGCCTACGCTCCCGCCGCTCCGCTGACTTACACCGCGGCAGCTCCATTGGCAGTCGCACCTGTGGCGAAGACGCTCGCCGTCGCCCCCGTGGCCAAGGCAGTGGACGCCGACTTCGACCCCCATCCTCAGTACAGCTATGCCTACGACGTCCGCGACAGCCTGACCGGTGACGACAAGAGCCAACAGGAAACCCGCGACGGAGACATCGTCCAAGGCAGCTACTCCCTCCTCGAGTCCGACGGAACCAGGCGCATCGTCGACTACGTCGCCGACCCAGTCAACGGATTCAACGCCGTAGTCCGTAAAGAACCAGCCGCCGCTTCCATCGTCGCTGCTGCTCCAGTAGCTAAAATCGCTGCTCCAGTTGCCTACGCGGCACCCATCGCCAAGTACGCCGCTGCTCCGGTCGCCTACGCAGCACCCATTGCAAAGTACGCCGCTGCTCCGGTCGCCTATGCTGCACCAGTCGCCAAAATCGCCGCTTCGCCCTTCGCCTATGCTGCCCCAGCCCAAGCTTACCTCCACTGAACCGATCTGTCATCCATAGGAATAATGCTCCACGAATAAAGTCATTTTTTAGCAATTACATGGAACGATTGTACTTTGTTTACTTTAATCGTGTTTATCCTTAATCCATGTTTTCATAGAATACGTAATTTTTTCATTTTTCCGTGATGTTTGATGAAATCGTGAATGAGAAGTGAAATATTTTTCACTCGATTGAAAAAAGTGTCGTTAATATTTTATTTACCGGGAGCCTATTTATAGGCTTTTCAATTGCAGTATTTAGCTATTCGAATTTATTTACTGTGTTGATGGTTGTTTACTTACAATGATCAGTGTTTGGAAACAGACTTAGCTTTCAATATACCCAGTAACGGTATAGAGGAATTATTGTTAGCCTAGATTGGCATATGCAACTGTAGAAAATTCTTTTTTGAATTAATACGTTGATCGCCACGTCACCCATATATGGGTGACAATGCTTTTCACTGAAAAACTACGAAAATTAATTCTAAAAGTTAAGTGTCACAGAAAATGAATTTAAATAAAATACTTGAACTTTGATGAAGTTACAAAACTAAATACCACAATAAATGTTTCATTACGCAGTTTCCAATAGTCTGTAAACAAAGTTTAATCACAGTAGAAATTTTCAAGAGTATTAGTCTGGCAGTGAACGTGTTAAAGACTGTTTCTTTATAGCCCGGAGGATAAAGTGTTAAGAGTAGTTATTTGTATGGTCTCGCGATTGATAGAAATAAGAGCAAATGACACCGAGATAGGTTTAGGCTGATCGCACACGGGCGCAACCGATTTGAAATTAGTGTTAGGCCGATCGTACACGGGCGCAACCGATCAGTTTCAAACCACTCTGAAACTAGTTGCATGCAACCGTGGATCTAGGTAAAACAAAGATAGTGGAGTAGGTAAAACAAAGAGCGCAAACGGTTTGGAACACTAATTTCGAATCGGTTGCGCCCGTGTGCGTTCGCCCTTACAAACTGTTTGCACTCTTTCTTTTACCTACTCCGCTATTTTTGTTTTACCTAGATCCACGGTCGCATGCAACTACAGTTTCAGAGTGATTTGAAACTAATCAGTTGCGGCCCGTGTGCGAACTGCCTTAGTGTTAATCATGAAGACTGTATAAGGAGTCCTAACCGTGTAGTGTAGAAGTGTATCGAAATCCTAAGTTTGAAGTTATGAATATTTCTACCACTCGCGGCGCAAGTGAGCACAGACTACGATATACATTTGTATACAATTTATCTACAGATAATCTTCAGATTGCCCTGCACTTGACCGGCTGTCCATTTGTTACTGAAAAATACATAAATACTATAAATCACTTCAGATGATTTTGGAATACCTATGTAGATAATATATACACATATGGCATACATACAGGGTGTCCCAAAAATGTTGTAACACCTTGAAAGGGGAGATTCAGGAGGTGATTTGAAACAACTTTTTCCTTAGCGAAAATATTGTCCGAAGCTTCGTTGAGGAGATATTAAGCGAAAATCTCGACCAATCAGAGCGTGAGTATGCCGGTGGAGCGCCAGCAGTAGGCGTGGCTCCGCGCTATGCGGCCGCGCTCATACGCTCCTGCGAGCGCTCCAACGGTATACGCGCGCTCTGATTGGTCGGGGTTTTCCGTTACTATCTCCTTAACGAAGCCTCGGACAACATTTTCGCTAAGGAAAAAGTTGTTTCAAATCACCTCCCAAACCATCCTTTTCAAAGACCTCCAACATTTTTGGGACACCCTGTATACACAAAGTTGGCAATACTGCGCATGTCCAATATGGCGTAGTTGACAATGGCACTTCACACTTGATTACTTTCGTATTCTGTTTCTTGTTTTACATATTATTCTTCTCTTGACATCTTGTACTCTGACATAGTCACCAGAAGTCAGGATAAATATTGGTTATTTTTTAACCGACTTCGAAAAGGAGCAGCTTACTCAATTCGATATGTATATTTTTTTCGCATTGTAATCGCCATTGTTTTACACTCCTTTCAACAGGCTCAACAGTTATGCGCATTGAAAATTTTATAGAGAGCTTCCTGTGAAAACGAAATTATGAAATTGAGCGTCTCTAACCCCGAGCTGAAGAATCAAATCATTTCGATGTTCTCTTAGAAGGAATAAGACGCTTGTTCCGTAGAAGTTGAGACTAATGATGTATTCTACTTAGTCTTAAAATTTAAAAAAGAAAAAGAGTCAAAACGACTGACAAAATTATTGTTTCTCATATTCCACGTGATTCGCAAAGATACGGAAGGGTTGAAAAATTTTTGTGAAGAATCACATAAAAAAGCATAGAGAAAGAACATGCTCCTAACATGTTTTTTGTATTTATAACGAGTTCCTCTAGAAATACTATTCTAACGCTACGCAATGTTTATTTCTGATTCTTTAACTTTGTCTACAATAAGAAATAAAGTAATAAATGTAATAGTAGAAAGAACACGCTCCTAACATGTTTTTTGTATTTATAGCGAGTTCCTACAGAAATACTATTCTAATGCTACGCAATGTTTATTTCTGATTCTTTAACTTTGTCTATAATATGAAGTAAAGTAATAGATGTAATTGTTATATTAAAACATACGAGTGTAATTAATAACATTATAAACTTTATTTCTTTAATTTATAATGTTTCTTATAGAATAAATCTCAAACGAAATAATGTCTAACTTTGATGTTACTCTTAGTTAAAGAGGCCGCTTTTTATTAACAATTCACGAACAGGCGTCGCGTTCTTCAATACTTTCTCCGCTATAAAGTGCCGGTGTCGCCAGTTACACAATACAACCACGCCTCGTACGCATCACGCGTAATGCGAGTCGTTGCGTTAATCGGAAACTCCGGGCAAACCAGATTCGTGCAATGGAACAAACCTTGATCCACTTACAATCCAGTATACACTCCTTCGTAACTGCGGTTATATCTTTACTGTTCATAATTGATTGTAAGGTCGTAGATGATGTACACACGTTCAAGAAAAGTTTAATCGACATTCACCATTACAAAACTTGAACATTTTTACGACTTTCTATGAGTTATCAAAAGTAAAATAATAATTACACACATACAGATAGTAAACGTAGATTCGTTTTATATTTTCTATATATGTATGTTGTATGAGTTCTTAGGATTTATTAGGAAAATAATTTGTATTCGACATTTATATTTTATAAGAAAAATAGAAGTTGCACAATCTTTATTTAAAGACGGTATCGTTATAAATATATTATTCTTACTTACAAGGGAACATATCCAACTGTCCGTCTCCGATTTTGATGAAACTTGGTGGGTACATTAAGCAGGTGAAAATAAGGGATACGTATTTTTTAATAGCTGCCCCCCAATCGCAAGTTTAGGGGTTGAAATCACCCCATGAAGTTTCAGCAGAAAAATGAAATCTTCTTAGGGAAAAGATTCATGGTTTCATGAGGTAAAACAAAAAGTGGTCACAGATTTTGTAAAATGTAATTTGTTTATAACAAAAAATTTTTTATTACATTATTTTAAGAGATACAAAAATTTATATAACGACAAAAATGAACGGAAATTTCTTTCCGAATCCATTGATATATAATACGATACATTTGCCTCCTACAGTTTTGTAAATTTTTGTATAATATTGTACGTGGCTATTAATATGAGATACATATTTGTTAAAAATTACACGATTATTTAAAATTAACAATAATAATGTTAATTATATTTCTATGCATTGCAGTATGATATTGTTAGGAAATAATTTATTGCAAAGTATACAAATATCGTAAGGGCATAAAATATCAATTTGTGGTAATACGGTTTTGTGGAAATGCTGCCATCATTACTTGTGCGTGGTGTCAGAATTTTTTTATTAATAGATATTAATTTTCAAGCATCAAATTATTTCCTAACAATATCATACTGCAATGCATAGAAATATAATTAGCATTGTTATTGTTAATTTTAAATGATCGTGTAATTTATAATAAATATGTATCTCATACTGATAGCCACCCGTATGTCTATACATGAACATACGCATTTCACGTGCGGCCGCTGCTCGGTGGGCTTGCGCGGCCAGCGTACAATATTATACGAAAATTTACAAAACTGTAGGAGGAAAATGTATCGTATTATATATCAATGGATTCGGAAAAAAATTTTTTTGTTATAAACAAATTACATTTTACAAAATCTGTGACCACTTTTTGTTTTACCTCATGAAACCATGAATCTTTTCCCTAAGAAGATTTCTTATATCTATTGTAGTTTTCGAGATAGCATTTTTCTGCTGAAACTTCATGGGGTGATTTCAACCCCTAAACTTGCGATTGGGGGGCAGCTATTAAAAAATACGTATCCCTTATTTTCACCTGCTTAATGTACCCACCAAGTTTCATCAATATCGGAGACGGACAGTTGGATATGTTCCCTTTTTAGAAAAATATACTTTACACGCCTCTCATACGCGTTATACTCTGACCAATATAGTACATATCTCCTACGAATCGACCAAGAATAGTTTTTTGTCAAATTACTAATGTTACTATTTATGAAATTTAATACTCATGAATAACACTTTTTAGTGTTATTACCATTACACTAACATAAATATATTATTTTTACTCGACGTTACTCATAAACTCTCCATTTTCTACCGAATCTTAAGAAAAATAGTGGACGCTGTCTTAGAAAATATATTAACCTAAATTATATTTGTTGGCCCTAACTCCCCCTTTCTGGCGGTGCTAGTCTGAAAAATGCCATGCACAGTATTTCATTAGAAGTATTTATTAGAAATTACTGTGATATTGACTAAATTTTTAAATTATAATTTCATTTGAAATAAACTATACTTACTGATGAATTGTCACATAGTCTTCTGCAAGGACATTAGACGTATCTAAAGGAGTTAAAAACGTGAACTGACTCTCCGGATGTGTTTTGGTATGATCCAAAAGAATATTCATTATAATCTGTCGGTTTACTTTATCCTAATTAAAATTAGTCATTAGTCGTAAAATACATTTTATATTCGTGGAAATAAATTTTAACTTTGTAAAAAATATGTACCATGAATACATCAAATTCGTCAAGGAAATAAAAAGGCAAACCGACACAATCCCAAAGTGCTAAAATAAAAGCAACGGTCGCATAAGACCTTTCACCGCCTGATAACGATTTTGCATCATTGCTTGACTTTTTGCTGTTTCTGTTTGGGTTCACTTCAAGTTCAAGTATTTTTCTCCCGTGGTCAATATTTATAGTACCCTAAGCAAAATATTTCATGTGAAATAATAGTATGTAAATATAAATATTTGTTTCGATCGAGTAAAGTCGATAATACATACTGTTTTGTCTCGTACAGCGAGTAGGTTTGAAAATGAATCTTGTATCCTTATCCCGTAAGTTTGTTTCAATTCAAGAAACAATTTTTTTCGTTGTTGTAATCGCTGACGATGTTGCTGTAACATAAGTATGTAAATCTGAATAAACATTTCAACGGTTATTTAAGTAGTAAAACATCGGATGATTCGCATACTTCGATTACTTTAAATATCATTATAGTGTTTACGGATAGTAAAATATATATAATGAGATTTTATAACTTACTTGATAGCTCTTGTCAATTTTAGAAGCTAAGTGCAAATCTTTACCATATCTCGCTTCCTTCTCTTTTAAGTCTTTCCGTAATTGTTCTATAGAACCGAAAAGTCGCTCTATTTCGTGAATTTTTCCTTTCAAATCTTTGGATAATCTTTCAAGTTCTTTGGCCGACCTGTAAAAACAATTTAACTTTATCCTGTTTACGTAATACACATTTAAACAAGTAATACAATACATTTTTTAAGAACATACTTTAGGTATCATCTATAAGTACAAAACTTATGTAAGACGAAATATTTTAAATTAGAATAATGTGGCAATCGAGTGTAATGAAAAAGCGCTTTAAATATTCAATTTATGTTTGCAATTATGTTTGTTACACTTAAATTAATAACCTTGTTGTTTCTATTCTATCACATTGATTTGTAGCTTTGGACACAGCATTTTCAGTGACTCTTTGCTGCATTTCAAATTCCGCTGTTGCAGTTTGCAGAGCTTGGCGAATTGCCTGTAATCTTCTTGCAGCGTGTCGACTTTGTGCGTGTATCGCTTCCTTTTCATCTTGCAAGCTTTTAATACTTTCCTATACAAGAAACAGAAATATATAAGCACAAAACAAAAACAAAGTTTAACGTTAAAAAATACCTTCAGTGGGTTAATTTTTGTATCTAGATTTCGACACAATTCTCTCTGATGTTTCATTTCTGTCTCTAAACTGTCTATCTTCTTTTGAAGTTCGAGAACAGTTTCATTCAAACGGGATTCTTCACATTTTTCTTTATCTAATTTCGTTTCCAACTCATTTAATTCGTTTTTCTATTCAAAGAAATATATATATACATAGATTTTTTATATACATGAACTTTAATAGTTTTGGATGCCACACTTACAAATACAGTAACGGATATAGCTTCGTTAGCTTCAATTTTATCCTTTAAGTCATTAATTTGGACTTTATATCGATTATGAGTATCATAAAGCTTTGTGATTTCTCCATTGACGGATTGTAACTCTAAATTCATACGATTTTCTTTTTCAGATGCCGTCTTGCATGATTGCATGGCTGCAGTTTTCTCAATCTCCATACTATGAAGCTCTTCTTCTAATGCGCTAATAAAAAAAAAATAGAACATGAGTTTTATGACATTAAAAAACTCTTCTAGAAAAAGAAAAAGAAAAAAAAGAAAAAAAAAAAAAGAAAGAAATAATCATACTTAATTGCATCGGTAACAGAAACTTGGAGAAATCTAGCTCTTAAACCGCGTGGTCCACCGTAACTTCTATAATGGGGGTCTGGATAGAATGTATCCCCTTGTTGAGTGAAAGCTCTTCTGCAATTCGGGGGAACTTTTGAAGCGTTACACATAATATCAGCTGCTTCCTTGCTAGTTGGAATCAGCAAAACGCATTCAACTTCGCGCTGATCGATTAGACAATTGGCAACAACGGGATCTGATATCTCCATTGCGTTTAAGAGATTAGAATAATGTGGTGATCGAGCGCAATAAGCATGAACATCGTGAACCTAGAAATACGAGGAATATACCATTACGCAATGCACTATAATATAATACAAATAGTACAACCCAATTGTCTTACTCTATCATAGAATTTGCTACATATTATCTGCGGGCTCCTTTCATTTAAATAAATCTCACTCATGATTGCATTTAATACTTTGGCATCTCCACTATTATCTACGCAAAATGTACTAAAAGTGCTAGAACCTAAATAATTTTCAATAGCAGCAGACCATGCTGAATCTTTCACTTTTATATACGCTCCTAGATACAGATAAGAATATATAGTACATTTCACAAAATTATCAGTATGAAGAGAAATAAATTGATTTCATACCAAGCGGACCACGAGGCTTCTTACTAAAATGTCCATTATTACATGCCTCTTCAATTCTTCTAAGTAGACGTGGTATATTTCGTCCAAATACAGTCAATGCATTATCAGAATGTAGTTTCCGTGCATTTACTTCCCGTTTGATTTTTTCTTAAACAAAGATAAATTATTTAATATTATTAAATTACATCCGTTAAATGTGAATACATTACAATGTTTAATTACTACATAAGCAATTGAATATACTCACGCATATGGTTTTCGCATTCGTTAATTTTCATTTTGGAAGTTCGAATTTCATTTACCAATCGCATTTTATCAGTTTCCAAGTGTGTTTGATGAGTTCGTTTTGTTCGCAATAGTGCCTCAATTTCGTTCAACTTATGTTCAAAAGTTGTTAACTGCTGCTTTATCTTATTTCTTTCAACTTGTTCTGCATTGTCACCGCTAATATATATATTGTAACAAATATATAGTTATATTACTTGGTTACTTACATACAAATTATGCAAACAAGAATTTGTAGCGAACCTTTCTAGTTTGTGTACTTCTTTTCGAATCATACTTATATCATCTTCCAATCTCTTAATTTTACTTTGAGCAGAACGCCACTCTCTTGCTTTGATAGAATGTGCATCTTTATTTATGCTATATTCTTGTTTTATTTTATTATATGTTTCAAAACTACCGGCAGCTTCCTGTTCCACACCTTTAATTTCCTGTTCTAATTTTCTATTTAAACAATCAATAATAATATTTATTATACTTACGCTAGAGTGAAAAGAATGTAGTGAATCACCTAATGTTTCCAGTACTCTCTTTAAGACAAATTTAGGTATCTTTTACAATCCATATATTTAACAAAAAACACACAATGTAGCAGCGTGGATTCATTTCATACCACATATTTCTTTAAAGAAAACATTTCTGGTCTTACTTTACATTATTGCAAAAATAAAACGGATGTGTACAATTTCAGTTTTAGGTGACTCACTCATACATATACATATACAAGTATTAATGGTAATACTTATTAATAATTCGTACAGAATGTTTGTATTTATTTCTTCATCTTTTGATTCTGCAGATGATTCCGTGTCCTGAAGTTCTTTAGCATGATTCTCACATTTTTTAAGAGTATCTTCGATTGTGCGTAACTTGATTTCTTCTGTTATGGCCTTTATGGTAAAATGTAAAATTTACGCTATAAGAAGAACGATGTATTGTGTCATAAGATGTCCATACATGAAATTTGTTACTTACAACTGCCCAAACTAATTCCATTTCAAGATCATTTACTTCATGGCGTAACGTATCAATTTCTTCTGCTCTCTTTATATTTGTTTTAAGTTGCTCTACTTGTTTTCTTTCCTCAGATAAAATCTATACAAATTTTTATTGACATGTACAAAATAAAGTAATCACTATAAAAAAACAAAATTATAACGTAAACATACTTCGTTATAATGTTTCAATTTTTCATATTCTTGCTCGCATGTTAATGCAGCCTCTTTGTAATTATTACCAATTACATCTAAAAGAGTTGCTTTCATAAACAACTCATACTTTTCTTCTGGCTTTGAGGATATCAAAAATGTTCTTGATATGTCTTGATTGAGGATAGAAATAGGATTATCTATTTGAATATTCATTGTTCTTAGTATGTTATCAAGTTCACTTCGCTTTGTTGAAATTATTTCTCCTATTAAACATTAATCCATACATATTTATCTCAAATATTTTAAAACACATGTACAACTTAAATTAAAATGTAGTAATAAAAGATGAAAACCTTTCCAATTCTTAATTTTGTACGACGATGAATTTCCAATATTGCGAATAACTGTTATCGATTCTCCATAGATATCTGGTTTGTATGCCATGGGTCCTTTATTAAATAATGATACTTCAACCATTGCCGAATTTTTTCCTTTCTTTATGAAACCTGTATAAGAAAGAATTGTATTACAAAATGTATGAAAACTTGTATTGTGTAATATGTTACCTCTGTAAGTAACCTTGCATTGTATAATATGTTTATACCTTTTACAGATATTCCACGACTAGTGATGTTTGCCCTAGCACCAAGACCGACCGTTAAAGCTGTTAATATTGCACTTTTACCACTTCCATTACGGCCGACAATGAAATTTACATTTGGATTTAATATTACTTCCATGGCATCGTGACACATAAAATTTCTCATTAGAATTTTTTCTATTTTACCTGCCTTACACTGAAATACAATACATAATGACATATCAATCAATGACAAGCTTTCACTACTTCAATAATTGTAACTGATCGCTTACCCCTTTCGAAAAGACAAAAGAATTTTCCTTCCCTCTCGACCGTTTCGATTGAAATTCCACTGCATCTCCGGACAGCCTTTTTCTTCTATTCTTCGTATCGTTCTCCATAATTTCCAAAAACAGTCACGATCTACTCACATACAAATTGTATATTCATTCAAATAACCGCGCAATGTTAACCGGTGCGAACACCATTCTTTCCCGAAAATATTTATTCGATTTTATTATGAATTACCTCGAATCATTAGATAAGATTTATAGTTAACAATAGATCAAAGTTCAACAACTTTATCAATAATTAACTTTATCTATAGATGATTTTTTCAAGCTCATCATACACTGCAATAGTTATTTATTAGAAACACATGCTGATCTTTCCCGCCAGAGTTACATTTTATTGATGTTCTCTGACCACTGTATACAAAACATATAGACTTCTTGGTAACTATACTTTTATTTTCCATGTTAACCAATAGTATTACAGTATCGTGAAAAGGAGAAATACATTATCCAATCACAGGATAGAATTCGAAAAAATTCGGTATATGAGGGTACATGCTCATAGACGTCTCTATGGGTACTTTTCAACAGAGACGGGCAAAACCCTAGACTTCGAATAAATCTGAAGTTTGCCGATATGTTTGTCTCTTTTCCTTCTTTGGAAAATGTTCTAAAGAGGAAAGAAGATAGACATATCGGCAAACTTCAGATTTATTCGAGGCCTAGGGTTTTGGCCATTACTGCTTTTCAATTGCAATATCCTTAGACAGTTTCATATACACGGTGACAAAAGTTCAGTTTCAATTGTCGCAATCTTCGAGTATATACAGGGTGTCCCAAAAATGTTGTAACACCTTGAAAGGGGAGATTCAGGAGGTGATTTGAAACAACTTTTTCCTTAGTGAAAATGTTGTCCGAAGCTTCGTTGAGGAGATATTAAGCGAAAATCCTGACCAATCAGAGCGCGAGTATGCCGGTTGAGCGTAGGCTACGCACTAGGCGGTCGCGCTCATACGCTACCGCGAGCGCTCCATCGGCATACTCGCGCTCTGATTGGTCAGTGTTTTCCGTTAATATCTCCTCAACGAAGCCTCGGACAATATTTTCGCTAAGGAAAACGTTGTTTTAAATCACCTCCCGAATCACCCCTTTCACGGTGTTATAACATTTTTGAGACACCCTGTAGTTTTCAATTGCAATATCCCTAGACACTTTCATTCGCACAGACTACGATATATACATCGATATATATATCAGCCTCCCGAGTGGACGAAATATTCATAACTTCAAGTTCGGGATTTTGATAACAGTTTTCTAGTAACTTTCGTATGGAGTTGGATCTCCTTATACAGTCTTCATAGTAGCAGTTTATGCTCGGTCTATGTTTTCATATGTCTATGACATAAATAAACGCGTTGCGACATCTAACGATTAAAGTGGAAACTAATTCACTACAAACTTGGGCGTTTCGCCGTTCATGGCGCTGATTATGTGTTTTAAAATTAGATATGTTACAATAATTCTTGGATTATTTATTTATACATGGTAGATACTCTTATGTAGACGAAAATTCGACATTTCGTAGGTACTGTTGCTGAATGCGTATGCATCTTCTATAGAATATCACCGTGAATGTACCTATGTACTTCGACAATTAGCGTAGTTCTGTGCAAAGCTAATGCTTCGATGATATTCGACTATGCCAAACCACTGAGGTCTGAGGATTACCATATTGATTTAATTCAACCTCTCTAATTATCCCATTCTAACTTCAATCACATGCTTTGCAAGGATGATTATTCTCCTGTATTTCATTTTAACAATGCCATACAAGGGCAAGTAGCTCATCATTTTCCAATTTCAAAAATAATTTATAACTTTTTAACGGTCTGACCGATTTCCACCAATAAAATATATGTTGTAGATACAATAAGGCATATTTATTTAAAAAATTAGAAAAGTTATCCCACGATGAAAATATTACAACAAAAATATCCGTCTACAATTTTTTAAATACACATCTACTTCTGGCACAGTCGCCATATTTTTCTTGAATCTAACATACTCGAAATATACAGGGTGTTCCGTAACTTGTACAAGCAAAAAGTGTGCGATGCTATTTCACGATAAGCATATATTTGTTTTCGAGTCTAATATACTCGAAATATATACAAATTAATTTCCAGTCTAGTCTATCTCAACAAGTTAAGGTTTCTTTGCATGTATACAGCCCTGGATCCGTGCTTTTTAGCATCTTGACCAAACTCTTGTGCGAGAGAAAGTCGATAGCACGGACAAGGCCTCTCGCGAACCGTCGATCCGGTTCTCTGGAGCGTGACACCAGCTTCGCAAACACCTCGCAACCACGTTCAGCTTAACCACGCCCTGCGGCGTGACCGTCACGCCCACAGGCCAATAGCATGTGGACCCCTGACGCTCTTCACTCGTTCGACCGTTATGGAAGGGGCAGAGGCCAGAAGGAGAAAGGTTGTCGGGTGGTTGCTCGTTGAACGAGGGACAGCGGAGTTATTGAATTCGTTGTATTGGCCGCTGGAGATGGTAAAAAGAAGAACGGGCAAACAGATCTGTGGGTAAACGACTCGTAAGTATGGGTGGCGTTGCGCGATATATATTTACATATTCAACAAGCGCAGGGACGAAGAAACGCATCAGGGGAACTCGAAACCTGAAAATTTTGGTATTTTGTATCCGTAGGATTAAGTTGATGGATGTCGATGATATTATATTATATTTGTAAGGAAGAGTGAGGTGATTTGAAATAGTAGTATTGCTTGTACGTGAATTAATTGTTTATGAGTGAATTTGCACAGATGGGTGAAATCCTAGGCTTTGAATAAATCTGAAGTTTGCTGATATGTTTGTCTCGTTTGGACATTTTCCACTAGAAGGAAACGAGACAAACACATCGGCAAACTTCAGATTTATTCGAATCCTAGGATTTTGCCCATCACTGCATTTAACGATATATTTTCTATAGCTTGTCTAGTTATTTTTGTAATATATAGGTATATATGACAGAATTGTTCTGTCATTGTAGATGCTATGCCAACCTCCAAAAAGTGTATGTAAATAAGAATTTATTTCACCCTGAAAATATTACAATACGAACTTTACTTTCAATATTTTGTATACAATCATTGTACACTGTGTGCATTTTATTGTTCCTTGCATATCTGTGAGTCTCAAAAATGCACACAGTATACTATACAAAATATTGCAAATAAAGTTCGTATTATAATATTTTAAGGGTGAAATAAATTCTTGTTTAGATTCAATTTTTGTAGGTTGGCAAAGCATCTACAATGACACAGAACAATTCTGCCATATGTACCTATATATTACAAAAATAACTAGACAAGCTATATAAAATATATAGTTATATTCTGTGAGCCACTCAATGGCGACCCTGCTGATGACTGTCCATGTCTACGCATCATCGCGTCTGCCATTATCACGTGCCATCATTCCTACATCCTGCCTGGCCTGTAGGATGTTCCTATTAACTACCATGCTACCAGCAAAAATTCAATAAATAAAAACTAAAAATCCCTATTTTCGATCTAGATCAATAACCAGGTCTATCTGTAATATGGATTTTCAATCTTTATGCATATATTTATCGTCCATTTCGACGTCTAGTTTCGAAAGACTGCAGTGTGCCTATTGTTACTGTACGACTAACACAAACAGAGTTTGACATGTAATATTTTTTCGGAACATAACGTTACGTAAAAATAACATTGATAAGTACCGTACTAATATTTTCAGGGTGAAATAAATTCTTGTTTACGTTCAATTTTTGTAGGTAGGCATAGCGTCTACAATGACAGAACACTTCTGCCATATATGCCTATATATTATAAAAATAACTAGACAAGCTATATAAAATATATAGTTGTATGCACAGATGAAGAAAACCCTAGGCTTCGAATAAATCTGAAGTTTGCCGATGTGTTTGTCTCGTTTCCTTCTTTTGAACATTTTCCAAAGAAGGAAACGAGACAAACATATCAGCAAACTTCAGATATATTCGAAGCTTAAGGTTTTACCCATCTCTGAATAAGTAGACTGCGGACTTTATGGATGTAAACACGATGTTGGTACGCCGTTTAGTTAGGGTCCGTGTGAGCACTGTTGTCAACTTAGAGGTTTTGTCCCCAGATTTAGGGGGAAAACGTATGAATGGGGTTTTTTTAGGAACTCAAATATTTTAGGGGGATTTTTGGGGAACAAATTCTTTAGAAGAATTTTTTTAGGGGTTTTTTTAATGTCAACATCATTCGTTAAGGTAGTTTTTCCCCGTTGATATTTTGAGTTAATTGACCATCTGGTTTAGGAGATATATGATTAATCAAAATACGAAAATATGTAAACTAGATAGTCAATTACCTCAAGGTTTCATAGAACTATTTCTTGGCAATGGCACACAAGTAAATATGACTATATTTTTACACATAACGACACTCATTTATATTCAACTAAATTTTAAATGAAGTATCTTTATTTATGAAAAACTGTAATAAATAACTAAATAAAACATTTTAGGGGGAAACAAAAATTTAGAGATTTTTTAACTTGTGTCAAGGGCAATTGTTCTCTACTGGTTGGCAACAGTGCGTGTGAGGCGTATGGTTGGTAGCCGTGAGACATAATCACAAGCAAGAAAATCAAAAGAAAACAGATTCGGGGGATAGAAGCGGCTTCTGTAAATTTTGGAAATTTTGATCACCCTAAATTGTATTTTTATAATTTTGGTATTTGGTGTTTTCCTGACGTAATTAGTAATTTAAAAAACCAATTTCATAGGTAATATCATTTCATTGTATATTTCCATGTTAGTACCATAACCTAATGTAAATAAATTTCATAGGAATATTGGTTTGAAGTTTTATTACAGGAAGAACCAACTTACATGTATTTATGATACAAACGAATATGACAAACATATGGTAAATATAATCAAAAGGTATGCTCACTTATGCAAAACGAAATAACAATATTGTTATATTAATTGTAGAATATATTTTGCATGCATGATGTATACAGGGTGTCCCAAAAGTCGGGGAGGAGCCGGAAATGGAGGGTAGCTGAGACGATTCTGAACAACAATTTCCTTTGCAAAAATGTCGGATGGGGCTTCGTTAAGGAGATATTAAGAGAAAACCCCGACCAATCAGAGCGCGCGTAGACCGTTCGAGCGGCCGCGGTAGCGAAGGCTACGTGCTAGGCGGCAGCGTCAATGTCCTTCGATCAGAGATGGGCAAAACCCTCGACTTCGAATAAATCTGACGTTTGCTGATATGTTTGTCTCGTTTCCTCTTTTACAAATTTTCCAAGGTATGTTTTCTATATTACTATATGTTGTAAATGCATAAAATAAATTG